CACACCCTTTATCTGCACAGGCTGCAGATAAGTTAGTCTGAAGGAGACTGTCCTATACTCTGTGCAAGACCACCAGGCCTTGTGAGAGAGGCCTCTGTCTTTGACCATCAGGGCTCTCCCCAGATGCTGGCCAAAGACTGTGAAATGACACTTTTTGAAGTGATTTCCTCATGGATGGTTTTTCTTCCTCTTCCAGACAAAAGCATGCACCCATTACTTTACTGTAGAGACCATTATTGTATGGGGTTTAATAAAATCTTAATATTTATTTTTCTAGATTTTCCAGTATATATTTATGACTGTCTAATAGTAGTTTTTCATGGAGGCATCCAACATACATTTTACAACTGACATAAAGTCAGCATCTGTATTTCTGCAACCACATCTTTCAAGTATCAGTAGAATTGTCCTATATATAGGCTGTGTGTACATTACAAGTTTAAGCCCACATAATGCAGTTAAACTCATGGTCAGGAGACAACAGTGTATCATATTGCCTCGTAGGAAGTGGAGCCTCAGACAGGGTAATACTAACATATAATCTTAGCTTTCTCTTCATGGGTGTTTTTATGCAGCTGGTGGAGAGTATTTTCAGTGGGCAAAACCCAAGCATGCATTCGTAGACCATAAAGTAAGTTCCACGTCACATTAACTCAGTCTTCATGTGTATATGCTTTGTTGCCCAGTGTTTTACTTGACCACAGTAGTATTTTTTCACAGACTCCCAGCCCTGCTTTCTTACCTTGATCTCTGCTGTTTGTATGTTGCTATCACTAAAAGTAGTAGTCTGGGACATGTCCCTAGAAAACCACTGTAAAAAGAAAGCATTCAGTCACCTACGCTGCTCCAGGCAGTACAATCTGTTATAACACTACTCCTTTACAAGACAGATTTTTATTTTTTTTCTCTTGACTTTTGGGAAATAGTATGCAGAACAGAGGAAGTGTTCTATGCATCCTCCACTTGATCAGAGAAGCACAGGGATAACATGGTATGCAAATCTGCTCAGTCAGAGTGTCCAAGCAGCTGTGCTTCCTTGTATGCACACAAAGAAATCTTCCATGTGTCATACTTCTTCCACTTTCCCAGCTACTCGCACCATCCCTTCAGCTATGAATTTCACTTCTAATGCAACTACAGGGAAGAGTAAACAAAATTCATCCCTCTGCTGCAGGCAATAATGTGCCTCCTGCAGCTTTCCTGGCCTGACTAACCAGCTGAACCTGCTGTTGTCCTTTCCTCACCACAGGCTGACAAGAAGAAACATGAAGAATCCTTCATTCACTTCTGAGAAGACAAAGCTCAGAATGGGAAGGTGAGTATAAAAGGGAGAAATCATGAAAAAAGTATATTCAAAAACAAAAGGCCTAAACTGAAGTCAGGTGGAGAAGAACATTTGAGGGAAAGGGAAATAAAAATAGAAAGCAAGCAAACAAACAAAAAAAGAGACAGAAAGGGAAAATGTTAAAGAATCACAGTTGGAATGATGAAAATAGGAGAGAGATAGGCAAAATGATGTTGTAGAGGAAGTGGAGGGGAGACTACTATGGGAAAGATTAGAAGCAGCAGTCTAGAAGGAAGAGAGATACAAAAAGACACTAAGGATCATGAAAAAAAGAAGCTACAATGTCATCTTACAAGCAAAGCTATTTCACCACTCCTTTGGTATTCATTGTGTAATGACCATTAGGTTATTCAAAGTTCTGAAGCATTTCCAGTGAGCAGCCAGTTCCTTGAACCCAGCTGCTGTTAGAAGCCAATACTCTGATGTGGATAAACTGATGGTGTAGTAGAAGACCCCAGTGGATGCGCAGTCTAACACCAGCAAACAGCAACTGTAAAAAGAATAGCTAGTTTTTATTCAGACCAACCTTCAGCCTTCAGATTGAGAGGATACCAAAAGGCTGTTTTGTAGGATTTACATTTTCTGTTCCTCAATCCTGATATCTCTGGTGCAGGGAAAGAAAAAACAAACAGGTTTTACAATTGCTATTTCAAATATGAGGCATCTTATTTAAATGCAACCAACCAGATAAGCTAGTTAAAAAGGCATAATAATCCTTTCCTGGTCTCCCACTGTAGGCAACTGAATATAAAATATCTGTAATCTCCATTACCATACCACGATGCCAACAATCCTTGTTTAATAGAGGGGTTTTGCTGACGTTCAGCTGGTAAAGGGGAGTCAGTTAAGAAGTAGAATCACATGCAGAAGACCAGGTGACACCAAAAATTATCTCACAGTATGAAGATTACCTACCCTGCACTAGGCAGATGGTGATTATACTTTGTTCTATAACCTTGTACATGGTTGATTATACTGCACCACAGAGAGACAGAACAGTAATAATGGGACAGCAAATGTCTGAATTTTTCCAAGCTGTTCCACACACAGATATAAGCCAGCTTGAATGAAATGAATAATGAAATTAAGGCAAATTATTAGTTTGGGCAAGATCTACTGCTATATGTTTGGCATGTTGTAATATAATTTGTACTGATGAAACTACTAATCAAGAAAACTGTCAGTCAGATTTTGCCCCTGTATCTGTTAGTGATTCTTCCATGAACAGATCATGACTTTTATAGATTTCTTTGATATAGATGTTGGTTCTAACTGCTCAAAATCAGCATGTGAGAAAGAAAATAACCTGCTTCTTTAGTACTGTTGATACCAAAGTTTAAGTACCCTGAAGTACTTATATACAGTTTACTAACAATAGTACAGTGCTCACTTAGTTGTCTGATATGATAACTCTATCCCAGCCAAAACCAGCACATCTATGTTCCCTTATTTTTACAAAATGAGGAGGAGGAATTAAGAAAGTAATGGGAGTAATGAATTTCTATGGCATGTAGGACAAAGAGTAGGAGTCAGGCCTAACAAATGATAGAAAATGCCTAAAATTTCTACCCCATTTACGCAAGGAAAAACAATTTCTCTAATGTTATGAGAAGCCTGCAATCAGAAGAGGCAAGCATTCCACTGCTTGCCATATAATGGCAGACTGTGCCTACACAACTCTTCTGTAAGGTGGAAAAGTACTATAGTAATTGACAGGGAATGAAGACACAAAGACTGCATCTGAGCCTGAGGAACTAGGCTTCTGCATGCGTATTAGACCACAGCCATATCCTTATGTGGGCATGTGACAATTCATTTCCATCCTACCTTTTTTTTTTTTTTTTCAAGGAGGGAAATTTTGGCACCTATGTGGGGAGATCTTCAGAGCACGCCAGCCAAATCCCCAGGCTGAACGGACCATAGCTGTGCACACAGGTAGATATTAGTCTAGATACAGTTAGAAAGGTTTAAAGTATGAGTACCTGTAATAAGGTTGTCTCGCGTTCATTTTCAACTTCCCAGATAATGAGAATGTTGCTTGTTTATCTATCTCACCTCTTGCCAGAGAACCTGTGCTGCACTGTGTCATCCTCTATCCCCACCCCCCAAAAATATCTAATTTTTGAGTAGGTCTTCCTCTAGGTTATATTCTGATGTCATTACTGCTGCTGGAAAGTAAATACTAATTAGAACAATTGTCCTGAAGTTCCTACTGCATCACAATTTAAATTAACAAATTTAAAACAAAATTGCTAAACACAATTTTTCTCCAAGAACCCTATTTTTTTTTTTTGCCTCATTTTGCCAAACATTTATTCTCTTCACCTGCTGCCCTTCACATTGCATGCACCATCTTTCTGAGACATGAAAGTAAACACACTCCAAACTAGCTGAAGAAGTCTGGACTGAAGCCCCTAATATAGAGCATAACAAAGGAGTTAGTACATGCAGTAAACTATCGTAAAATCAGGAGCAACTGAGGACTGATAATGGATCAGATATTTTGACCACTACTTTGTTTCCCATGGGAAGCATCCCTCCATTGCTAATCAGACCTTCACTTAGGCTCCTAGCTTGTGTGCACATGAGCTGCCGAGACAGTCACATAGCCCTCCCCTTTTGGAGCAGCCCTCATTGCTCTCTGGCATGAAATAGCTCCGTGAAGGAATGTACGTGACAACTAAACATTACAGGATGAAGACAGTACCACTTAGCTGCACAATTTCATCCTCTTATTGCAAGGACAGATGCCTGGGGTGGGGTGTTCCATTTGGAGATCATGTTAATTTTCCAGCACCTACGATCTGTGCACATGGTACCACATGGTCCAAGGGAAGCTTGTTTTATGTCGGGTTCTAACAGTGTATCTGCTCATTGTCTAACGTGTTTTTTAACAGTGATGAACAATATTAGATTCGTTTAATTTGGGAACAGAAATAAACTAAATTTAGTTGTGTTTCATGGGAATCCTGCAGATGAGGAGGTGGTTTCTTCCTCGGTTACCTGAGTCTTTCGGCGTGCCAGCCTACACAACGTCACTGCTGCTGCCTGTCTTCAGCCTGCTTGCTTAGGGCGAGCTCAGCACCGCCCTTCCCCGCTGTGCAGTTCCCAGACTTATTGCAGGGTGTGCAAGTGCCGGGAGGTGCCCACGGTGCAACACTCTCTGCCCACAGGGCCCCATGCTGGCTCCTTGGGGTGGGGAAGCCAGCAAGCCTGCTCATGGGGAGGTGACTGTGGGTGCGAGCGTGGGTTACTGGAGTGTGCTTATCAGCAGACATCATGAGAAAGTCCTTTGTCCCACGAACCTCTTTGCCATAATGTGCTTTGCCAAACAGGAGACAACTCGAGTGTTTTCAAGTAAGGGGCGCTCCCGAGGCTTTACCGAGAGAAAAACTGGCATCCACTACCATTAACAGGGGGCAGAGGACGCCACCGGTTGGGAGTTGGAACTTCACCGGTGTGAGCTCCCTTTTGAGGCTCAGCTCCCGCTACAGCCGGCTCCCCGCTGCCCAGGGAGAGCATGATAGCCTACCCTGAACTCAAGCACCCAAAACCCTCGATCCCGCCCTCCCCACCTCCAGTATCCCGCAACAACAGAGGAGACGGGATCCCTCCCTCTGCCCCTCCCCCGGGCTCTTATAAGGCCGCGGAGTTTCCGCGTCCTGTGACTGCAGTCAGGTGGTTGTGGGGGTTTTCTTCCCCTCCCTCCATCCTGCTCCGGCTTCCGTGGGCCGGCCCAGCGGGGAGCCGGCTGGGGAAAGTTGGAGGAAAGTTGCCGGTTGGGAAAGTCGAGAGGCGGGATAGTCGCGGCCCCGGCTGTCAGGCTTCCCCGCCGGGCCCCCAGGGAGGGCCGAGGATGGCTGGCGGGGAAGGAGCGGGCTCCGGCGTGCTCGAGTGTAGGGAGCACCTCTTCAAGGTGCTGGTGATCGGGGAGCTGGGCGTGGGTAAAACCAGCATTATCAAGCGCTACGTGCACCAGCTCTTCTCCCAGCACTACCGGGCCACTATAGGGGTGGATTTTGCGCTCAAAGTCATCAACTGGGACAGCAAGACCCTGGTGCGACTGCAGCTCTGGGATATAGCAGGTAAGGGCCGGGGCCCGGCTTGTCCCTGCAGGTTGAGTCCCGGCGGTTAGAGGCCTATGAAACCTGGCGACCCGGGGCTTGGCCCCTGCGGAGGAAAGGGTATTTTGACTGTGAAACCTGTCGTCTTGGTCTTCTCCTTACCCCTGTTACCTGCAAGCCTTTTTGTCTGCGTTTGAAGCATAAGGAGAGAAAGGTCTCGATGTGAGAGTGAAGTTTTTGACTTTTTATACTCTGTGTGTGCTCTAGAGTCTTAAAGCAGTCCTCAAAAACCTGCTTTGCTCTACTTGGCTCTGTGGCTCCTCGCTCGCTCTTCCTGCTTCTATTGCTTCTCCTGACCCGTGTGCCTGAGGGCTTACGGCCTTGGTTATGACTGGGTGCTTAAATTCATTCATGGCTATGGTTCTGTAACACTTCCAGAAAGGATAAACGTCTTTTCCAAGTAGGTTTTGTTTAGTAAGCATGCTTTACAGGCTAAAAGTAACTCAAACAGATAAAATTGTTCTCAGAGAACCTATGCTCAAACTTTGTATGTTTGGCATCACCTACTTAATGTAAAAGTAACTTGTGTCCTTGCAATGTGGAGTGATGGAAGGGGACTTGTGGTATACTTAGTTCTACATGGAAATAATGGGTTTGTGTATCAAAAGTATACTTTGAGCACATGGAGGCAGAAAAGCCCTGTTAATTTGTCCAAACTGCCCAGCATTCCTTTGCTATGTATGAGTCAAAACTGTTCTTTAACTTCTTTGTTTTAAAGATTTCAACTATATACTTGTCCTGGTTAATTTTGTTTATGCTGTGCTGTTAAATGACACAGAACAAATTCTATTCTACTGTGGTCTTGTAAGACATCCCTAATCATCTCAAGCTAATACTGCATTTCTGGTTTTGTGTGCAGCCCACGTATTAACCTGCAACTGTCTTCATCCGTCTCCACCATGTTCTGGATATCTCCTCAGATATTAAAAAGGAGACTTTATTTCAAATGCTGGTGTTGAAATTTACATTGCTGGAAGGCACTAGGATAACAACTGGTAGTTACTGTTTCCATGAACTATAGGCTTTACAAAGTGGAAGCTCAGAAAGGAGGAAGTGTAACATGGTTGCTGTAATACTGTGACAGATCAGTTGAACACTAGCTTCTGGCCTTTGTGCTTTAAAAGTTGTCTCAAAATACTTCGGATATGATTCCTCAAACTAAAAAGCCTGCTTCTCACTGCCATATGCTGGAACATGCCAAAGATCTTTCTGCTGCTGACCTGCAGGGTAAACTAAAATATTTTCTGATTGCTCTTTTGGAGAGCAAGTAGTGTTGGCAAGCTTTCTTTTCTTGTGTGTACCTTTTATGAATAAATTTTAACTTCTGTAAGTCAATTAACAGTATTGGTGCAAGCTGCCACAATGCACTGGATGTATTTTAGCAGGTTGCCAAAGCAGTCTGTTTGAACAGGCTAGGCAGAAACTTAGCTGTAATTTGTAATAAAGTTTGGACAGACCTATTTACATTATGGGAAGTCCTATCAATATAGCCATGCATTAATTTCAAGGTCTAGAAGATGGTATTTTTCACTCTCTGTTACTGCCCTCAGTGTACTTTGGACACTGTGAAGTGAAGAGTGAGTTAAGAGCCTCTGATAAATCCCTGGAGGCTTGTGCTAATATTGATAGATTGAAGAATTATTTTTTTCCTGTTGCTGAAATATTTTTTTGTATTTTACTATGTGGTGTAATTTTGTATGAAATTCCTGACTATTTTTTCCCTAGTAAAAATGAAAAAGGAAAATGCAATTGGTTTTCAATTTGCAGTCCAAACTCTTTATTTTTAATCTGGTACTTCAGGCTATTCTGTGTCCCCTGCTTGAAAGACAAGACCAAAAAGAGAAGTAATCCTAGTCCTAGTGTTTGATTGGGCTGTGCTTAGCCAGTGTGACAATAGACTCTTATAGAACTTTACATCTCAGCTGTTAATCATTAAAATAAAGGGGACTTTAGTATCCTTAAAGGTTTGCAGTTTTAAGATCATGACATTAAGTCCTTGACCTGGGTATGTGTTCTGCAGCTGTTTATGTCTATATTCATGAATATTTCTAAATACCTGAGGATGTTAACAGATCTACATGGAAATTATTAGCTACAGAACCAGGTTGAAGATGGCTTTTATATAGTCATAGCACATGTTTCCTAAAGCACTTTATTGAAGTGTGTAACAAAGTACTGAGCATGTGATAGTCATTCCCTTTTAACTCACCAGCCCAACTGTCTTCTGGCTTTCAGCAGCTCATGTAGATAGTTTCATCTGCTGATGTATGCAGACAAACAACTTTAGATCTCTTCAGGAAATCCACATATTATGATAAGTATTATTACATGTGGCTTCCTTACAAGCAGCATGGTTCTGGCATTCTGAATTGGTTTTGGTGTGTCTTAAAAAGCTTTTGAATTAAAGTCTAACCCTTAAGCTTAGTAAACCAGGTTATTTTTTACAAGATAAAGCTTATACTTAGCAGTTCATAATAAAAAAAACTTAAACAGTTGGGTGCTGCAATCTAAGGTTCTGTACCTAAATTAATGATAAGAACTAGTCATGTAGTTCAGTCATCAGCTAAAGATTATAATGTAGATATCGTGCTGACTTCTGGTGTGGTTGTAGCCAAAATGATGAATGTTGTGCTGTGTATAGCAATGCAGCAGGTTCCTGAGTAACTTCAATTTCTTGCACTGAGGTTTTTTAGTGATTGGATAATTCTATCAAATAGATCATGACAGTGTTATACTGTCTTGCTTCCCCCCCCCCCCCTCTAGTGGGAGATAGCCTTGTTGTAAGGTACACTATAATGCAGATTCCTGCAGCAGAATCAAAGTGGAGGGGGTGTAAACAGTGAAAGGTGAAGGTTAGACTTGTGTATTCCAGAAATACTTGGGCATTTTAATTTTTAGACAGTTTGTAGCTTCTTGAATAATGGAGATGAAGAAGCTTGGGAACAGGATTGATCAGTCATTGTCAAATGATCTTGGTTGCAGTATGAAGTATTCTGAAAGAAGATGAACAGATTACATGCATGTTCATACAGGAGCAAGACTTCTAAACGTTGGCGCCTTTAGGTATTACTCTTGTTTTTTATCTTGACATGCAGAGTTATGATAAACCTCTTCCTGGATAGAGTCTGAAAATGTTAGAACCAGGTTAACCCCCTTGATCAAAGGACATAAATAACTGGCAAAATAAATAGGAGATAGGAGTGAGTCATTGTGGTGAAGAGATACAAAACAAAGGAATCTTAATGATAGGGAAGTACTTTTAAAGTTTATTTCAGTACACTAGAGATTCCTGTTTGACAAGCAGGCTGTTTTAGTGAGTATACTGCACTGACCACAATTTAGTGTAGGAGGTGAGTATAGCATATTGATGAAACCCAGTCAAAATTGGAGGAACACTTAAAGGATTTTCTGCCTCATAAAGTTTTGATCTAACAAGGCCATCAAATGAATAGTCTTAGCTGCTCCTTTGTGATCACACTATCACTGTCATTCAGACCAGCCTGTATGAACCTGAAGTTTGCCAGAGGGCAGGGGTGGTGAAAGTCATAGATGACTACCTAAGCTTGGCTTCTCTTCAAGAATGTCACTAATGACAGCTAGTAGACAAATTTGTTTTTAAAGCTCTGAGTGATTCTGCACGAACTCTGCAGAATTTCTTTGTAAAAGTGTTTCTAAAAATTGAAGTAATGCTTTAGCTCAAGGAATGTAGCTATCAAATTGGCAGAAGAGGAATGGTTGTTCTTTGGTATTCTACATAAGCTCTACGTGCTCTACACAAGCTTTTAGGAGCTGAATGATAAGTTTTATAGCATGCAAATTGGTTACTAAACTCTTATCTGTCTCCTTGAGCAGATCTGAACTCTAACTTGTTAAAAGTAAATGCCAGTCCCCAAGAGAATGGAGATATCAGATGAAGTATTTTGCTCAAATACTAAGTTGAGGAAGAGCTGGAATAACCCATCTTTTCTATGAAGATAAATAAGTTTTAGATATGAGTAGATGTTAAGCTTTTAATTTCTTTGTGAAGTTAACTTGCTGTCATCTATAGGAAGCCATGAGAAAGTGAGTACAGGAAGCAATGGGTGTGGGAAAAGGAGGACATTCTAAAACTTACTTGATGGCAGAGAAAAAAACCTTAAACTGAAAGGAGCACTTGCAAAGCAAGACAATGAAGGCAAAATGCAAGCCTTCTTACTTACATAAGCAAGAGTGCTGCACCCGATAACATTTTCTGTCCCAATGAAATACGATGTATCTCCTGTAGAAAGCTGAAGTGCTTGGTAGCTATGCACCTTCTGTGGAACATAGCTGTGAACTGTTATGTGTATTGGTAGCTGAGTTTCAAAGGCCTTCAGGCTGTTCCAGTATGTGAGAAAGTGTACTTCTATGTGAAAAACCTTATAGTTTCAAGCAAATGAATATTACAGTTTTTCTCCTTCTGCGTTCGTGCTACTGGCATTTCAGAAGACTGCCAAGTTGCTTCTATGTACCAGGTCATTAACTTGTTTCTTGTGTTACAGACTTGCCTTGTTCTTTTAAATGAGATCTAAAGAAAGCCTTAACCAGTGTTAATGCATCCCTGAAAGTCTACATGGGGCAACCAGAAAACTTCCTTCATTTCCTATATATACATACATAGAGCTGTGCCATAGAAGCATGTACTTTAATTGTTCTTTAGAGGAGTCTGTCCTAAATATGGAGGCCTTAGACATAGTAGTATCTAGATATTGTAACAGCGTGTCCTTACCCACAACAGATTTCGAAGCTCAATATAGGGATTAGAATGGCAATTCCTACAAAGAAACAATATAAAAATTGCTTTGCTGTATGTCTAGTACAAGGAGCATAGGGTGGAGGCAAGACAATCCAAGCATACCCTGCCTCCAGATGTGTGTTTTTTCTCACTGTGTTGTGGTTTGTTTAGGCTTAGCTTGTAACTCAGAACCACACAGCTGTTCACT